GAGAGGTGAATTTTCAAAAATTCTACTGTATCTGATAAGCTCTAGTGTTTCTAACCTTCTATCATCTGAATACGAGTTCCCTTTCAGATTCAGCTACCTCTACAACAATATTTCAGATTAGAGATTGAACCGTGGTTATATCGCATCGCCAAACCGCCATGGCGAGAATTTGATAGAAAAACTGTTCTGGAGACCATTTTACCCAATGATGAAGGGTTGCTAATGAAAGGGTCGTCAAATACGGACGGGAATGACCTGCCTCGGAAAAACGGAATCGGAAGCAAGGATAACTACTCGTAGTATAAAACTCGGTGATCTGCCGTAGGGCTACTCCATTACACAACCAAGAATCAGATCAGTCGACGAGAGAGGACTCGAAAAGATTTGAGCAGCATGCACGAGAAACTGAACGAGTCCTGCGCCGTCAAAGGAACAGATCAGGTTGAATCCTATTGTGTGATGCCAAAGTGACATATCGCAAAACAATTCGTGTAATATTTTTTGGGAACGAGTTCGGATCTTTCTTTGTTTGCCTACTGCTGAATTATACAATCTTTCGAGACAACGGTAAGGCTCAGACTCACTAAGGACTGAGAAGGTCCCTTCCCGTAGGTGGAAATGCAAGTCTGCAGTTGTACAGGTTGCGACAAATGTACACCTCATGCGGCCTCACTGAAGCGCTGAGTGCTTTCGATTTCGGATTTCGGGTGCCGTTGACGCCCCGTCAATCCGTAATCGCCCATCGTTCCATCTCTTCTCAGTGGCGTATTGTTGACCAGCTGTACTTTCTCAAAGTTGCTTTCCCTTTCCGCAACTCACATCTTCTCTTACTTCACTGTCTGCTTTATACGATTAGACATCTCCACAGCGTAGAGCAAAAAGCTTGATATTTTCTCCGCCTCTGGAAAATTTCTTTTTCCTCTTCTAGTCCATTTACACTTCCGTATTCAGGTGATATTGCTAGTGCAACGTACTGATCCTGACCCTTGCTTTCAATGACGTGCCACTTCTTCGCTCTCCGTTATCTCGCGGAAAGATCGCCTCGAGACCAAAGGGATCCTGGATCAGAAAACCGACAGTTTTCGAGTATTACAATTCATATTTCCATCAGAATACTTCTTTCGCGTGAACAATGCTGGTAATGCTACAGTACACACGATGGTATATAGTTCATGACAAATGCTGTGTCTCATAATTGTTATGGTGTTTCGAATAAAGCGCCCAAAATGGCGAACACTGTTGACCGACCTAATTTATAGGGAAGTCCAACTTTGGAGCACATCCACCATTCTTCACAGCACGCCGTGCTTGCGAGGCCCTTTCATATGAAAAGGCGAAGGGAGAGGAAAATCGCATCTGTTAGCAACTGTATGAACAGGCTGTATGATATAGTGTCGAGGGATGATCCAACCACATTCGTAATTCAAAATTCATGACCGATTCCTAGACTGCACGCGGTTGAGGCTTTGGGATTTCCTCCAATTGACATGAATAGACGCTTCGCTTGACACATGCATACTAAGCAGATCTGCAGCAGTAATCTTTCATGCTCTAAAGAGCATGGGAATAACCTCGAGCAACACTTTGTTTGCTCCAATCGCGACAAGTCCCAAGCTTTCTCATGCATTTTAGGAGTATTCTAGTTTTCCGGCGGATATAATTTCATGAAATGGCATCTAATTCGTCGGATTTAGAGTGCATTTTTCTCGCTCCTTCCCACCTTTTATCATTCAACACATTCTGAAGAGCAGCTGCGAATGTATCACTGTTGAATTCTTCCTTTGTGATTACAATCGTTGTGTTCTTCGCTTCAACGAATAGCGCATTCCTGCAAAGAACTGGAACTGTAATAAGTGTATAGCTTTCTTTGCACAGATTTCTTGGATTAATATAATAGACTATAGTAAACCGTATTTGATCAGCGAAGATTGGCACCAAAATCGACGGCTTCCCATTTCTCGTCACCTCCATAACACTATTCAGTCCAGCATGTGACACAAAACATTGCAGTCTTGGATGAGCTAAAACAGTGTAGGTGGCCATGAGACTAAGGAAGAAAATTGGTTGGGTATTATATTTCACCCTCTTGGGAAACTGTGCGTTATTGCGTTTTGGGAAGCTTACTAAACAAAATAATAAACAAGGGAACCAGATTTCGTCGAGAAGTTTCTTCAAAATCGGTCCTGGCATGCATAATTTTGACATTTGATTCCGTTCTGTTAGCTTGGATAATTTTCGCCCCAGAAAGGACTAGAACCCGCCCTCTCGCTTTCCGTTTTGTTCACAACCCAGCATTCTTGTGAAACATTCGCAAGGCGAACTGCGGCCAAAAACAGCAGTTAACAAACAAAAACAAGTCAAAATTCATTGCTAAAGCTTTCAGCCTCGCGGTCATTGCCGATATCGGCTAACCGGCTCAACACGTTATACGTGTGAGTGCTGACAAGCTATGGTACGTATACCATGAAAAGCTGAGTTGGGATGAAATGGTGCCCCGGTAGCGTAACTGGTAGCGCACTTGCCCGGAAAGCGAGAGGTGCGGGTTCTAGTCCCGCCTGGGGCGAAAGTTTTGTTCACAACCCAGCATCTTGTGAAACCTGTTTGTAGTGTTTTCATGAAGTTATGAGGAGTAGGCTAGGTAAATAGGAGTCGACCTACAACTGATTACAAGTCAGCAGACGCTACTCACCTATGTACTGACCATGTCACAGGTTGGCCCCGTCCTATGGAAATAACTCTTTTCACCGAACGTAGAACTGATGGCCGAGGCAACGATGAAGTGTTTCGTTGATGGTTGTATGATGATGATGATATAAATCAGAGAGTAGGATTTGGCCGTCAGAGATTGACCCCATAGCCCCGTGTGCTCCTATCATAGCCAACTTTTATTATAAAAGATCAACCGCTCACCTATAAGTGCTGCTTGAGTAACCCAGCTGAATGTGTGCAAATTTGGAATGCTTTGTATCGCGTCGCCTTCGTCGACTTTCCATATAAACTCATAATATTTGAAAATTTCCGCCGCTTTAACTATTGCTTCGCGGAAGTGCTTGGGCATCTGAATGCGATCTAATCAAGCGCCCCTAGTTCGAGATCTTACTTCAACTACAACAAAGTCTTCTGTTCTCACTTTCTTGGTTGGCGCATTAGAGCCAAAGGAAATATACACCACTCCCATTTTGGCTTGCTCCAGAATGTGCCGCAATTCCTAGAATAATCCAAAGAATGCTCAAAAGTGTCATGACGGATTGAAGTTAATTGATTGTTGTATGTTACCATTGATAATGGAGCGGCTTCTAGCATTGTAATTCCACCAATATGAACGATCTTTGATGAAATAGGGCGACCGAACGCGAGGAATTCGTCCGAGTTTGACAGTAAATAGTTGATTCTGTCCTCGTAGTATTCCTCATCGGTGATGATCATGGCGGTCAAATACGTCCTGCTCATAAAAACAGTTACTGGGGTACTTCTTGCATTCTGAGATCTGCGAAAAAAGGATTCTGTCTAGTGGAGGGCTGTCGAGGCAGAAGTTCAAAGAAGGTAGTACTAGGTTGCCCGATACATTGCCCCTTTGTGCGATTGTTTGCCATGTAGACAAACCAATACTGTACTATATACCACTAAATATCATTTTTCCTGTCTAATCCATCCTGAATCTCACAATACAACACATTACAATACGCCTTTTGATGGCTCACAGGAATCTATCAAAGATGGAGCTACAGCTCTACAGACAGGGTGAATAACGGTCGAGGAAATCCTCGACAGGGGGTCGTATTTGCTCCGATGAGAGTTGGGAGGGGGTCGTAATCAAAAGGTTCATCAACGGACACAACGGTGCTGCTGCCACTTATTTGCTGTCATCATTAGTTTCACAAGTGTTGTAGTTAGCCTAATGCAAATAATATCTTACACTGTCTGGAATTAAAATTAAATGGAAAGTGGTTGTTGGTTTGGTTCGTAGTGATCAGTATGGCATAGGAAGGCAACGCGTCCTGCAAAAGAATCGTAGGGAAAGGGCAGCGAGTATCTACTCTAGAATGATGTACATGCTTCGAGAACTTAGTGGAGGAACAGCATCTTGGTAGAAAGTTCAAAACAGGCAGATTCGCAGCCTTCTTGGCATCATCAGATCCTGCAACCGCAAGCGTGTCATTCATCAGAACGGGTTGGAAAGGAAGCGATTTGAATAAAGGAATGATCAGACATCACTATGACCACAAGAGTTATCCTAATTAGTTAATACTGGAAATATCTTTTGGTGTGCTTAAGCAAGTCGTCACTAGGACAAAACACCTTCCCAATGACTCCGAGTGGGGTCACTGCATGGCGCATACAAGAACGGAATGGATCCTGCGCCAAGTGCATCATTTTCAATTTACTCCATCGAACTGACGTGTACAGAAGTATTTTGAAGGTGTTCAAAGAAGTTCCCTACTACGGCGAGGGAGTAATAGAGTTTTCGAGTGGCTTCGAAAATTTCCTTGACATTTCCTCGACGCAGATTTCTCGCGAACTAGAAAGCGTTCGAAACAACTGGAGCACCTATCAAAAAGCGTAAATCTTCTACTTTACAACGCTTTCCTCCGATTTTCAAAGCATTGCCAATGAAGACAGCTACTGTCTTCCAAAGAGTGGGAACTCGCATGTAAATTTCAATTTCCTCGACAATTTCTCGACGTCTCCCACTCTCGAGAATAGGCGTGCTTAGAAAAACGCTCAGCACAATTTAGAAACTAGAAGTCTTGTGCATTCAAAAGCTGCCTTCACTTTCTGAAATGGTTATCAATGAAGAAAGTTATAGTCCTTTAAATAGGGGGTACATTTGACGATTTTTCCAACTAGCGCGCTCTAGGCACAGCGCGCGACGCGATCGCGGGTAGTTAGCGCCGCTATACTGGAGCGCGAGACTGTTCAACTGTGTAGGGGCAGTACCTCCTTCAATGTTCTACTTTCCGGCCAATGTGGCAAAGGTTAAATGTCTTTAAAGGAAAGAAGGAGAACCTAATCTGAGCAGAATTGAATCTAGCATTTGGATCAAGCCGCATTTGCGTGGCAGCGGCGCTGCGTCCCTCTCGCACATCTGAAACTAGCATTTTTTGATATGAAACCGGATGTGCAGAGGACAAAAAGGGGTCGTATCAGAGTCCATGTTTTGGAGGGGGGTCGTAAAGAGGCGGTTATTTCCTCGACACGATTTTCACCCTGTCTACAGAATGGACGTATTCGACACCTTCTGAGTCGGATAAAATTAAGTATAGTTCAATTTAGAGACTTCAAAAACCCCAAGCCCTAAGCGCCTTCTCCTCTGGCCTATTCTCACACATATCCGGTTGTCATATGAACCCGATGAAGAAAATGTTGGGAATCGTTGGGCATTGTCAAAAAGGTTGGTGCTAAACGCCATTTTCAAACTGCATAGGAACAAAACAGAAGAGCCTTGAAACCAAGTCTCAATGCCAGGGCTGCTCCTTGATATCGCGGCGCTGGAAGGCAAGCCCTGGGGAAAAACTAGTGAGTAAGAGCGCTTCGCAATGATGGCCGAGCTACGAATGGAATGAAAATGGAAAGAAGGGAAAAAATCATTGAAGGCGCTGAAATTAAGACCTTAACCCCCAGAATGCGAGACAGGGTGAGACAAAACACGCGAGAGTGCACGCTCTTTGAGAGAGCATGCTGATCTCCCCATTAACCTTTGGGGAGCATTGTGACGAGAGTCGATGGTAGAGGCCCGTAAGGATCAGGGCCCTAATCGCGCAATTTGTGCAGCGAAGCTTGAGGTACTAGCCTCACGGTATCCTTCTACTAGGCGGTCTAATCCCGGGCTTGTCTTTGACAGGGAAGGGTAATATCTCATTTCTTAGTCATAACATAGGAGTGGATCGGTGTTGATGACAAACTCCAAGCAGAACTTTCCTTACCTTATAAATTGAAAAACCAAACCTTGTAGCAATTACTTTGCGATCTGAACCCCTCCATTCAGAAGGTCATTTTTTCAGAAGTAGTCTCATGGAAAAAAAAAAAAACGGGGGGACCCCCAAACCAAAATTTTGAAAAATTCAAGTTGTTCTCTTCCCAAAAACGTATTTGAAATGTTACGAACGTTCAATGACTTCGAAAAATAATCCCGTTGTTCCGTTTTATCACACGCGAGTTTTCGACATTCAAACGTTCATAACTTTCTTCATAATCAACTTTTTGAGATGTCTAAGGCCAATTAGAAACTAGAGGACAAGAGCTTTCGAATAGTGCTAAAACTTTTGAAATAATCACTCGCTCAAAAAATAGTCCCGTTGTTCCGTTTTTTCCACCTTGATTTTTTTCAAGCCATTTTCCTGGACCGCGACTATGCAGTCTTCAAAGGCCCATAACTTCCTTCAAATTAATGTGATGAGAAGCGGTAAAGACTGTTAGAATCTACTCGAAGAGTACTTCATAACAAGTGTAAAATTTCATTCTTTCTTCTGTCCTATTTTTTAAAGGTCTGTAGAATTCAATTCAGCGAATTCGCTACACCTTGTTCCGCTTAGATTAGATTTGGAAGCATCGAAATTCTCAGGAAAATTTTCCGCTCACGGCCGCTGACAGAGAAGGCGTTTTCATGGAAAAACGCCGTGCACCTGCCTGTTGGCAGAAGTCGCACTCGCATTTGAAATCCCTCCATTTTTCCTGAAGGAAGGAGTTGGTACCGTGTTGCAATGTACTGTTATATGGTACTCTTGTTTCACTTCCCAATAAACTGCTCTACACTTTGTTCTAGTTGGAATTTCAGGAATGTTCGATCATCGAAGACAGACCATGTTGCACTCTGCAGTTGCAAAGTTTGTATTGTAATCTTGACCTTTACTGTCGAGCGAAAGCGCCGTCCGTGTATTAAGGATACGGCTGATAGTGAGAATTATGATGCTCTGCATGTTCCAACGCTCCCATGGAGCTCTTGTCTATGTGACTCTCCAACAGGTGCACGGTGCAGAGCTCCTGGAAAACATAAGAGCGTGAATGTGTACTGCAGGCATTTTTCAAGCCGTTTTCCAGCCCCTTCTATCTAGATAGGACACCCTCCGCTTTCGTTCCAACCGAATGTGGACCCCCCGTTGTTCTTTGCACAACGGGCGGTTGACCCTGGCCGTGAGCAGACAAACCTACGAAGAAAATTTTGGTGCTTCCAAATTCAAATCTAAGCGGAACAGAGTGTTGCGAACTTGCTGAATTGAGTTCTAGAAACCCCTAGGAAATTAGGACAGAAGAAAGAATTTCAGGGAAATTTTACACTTTTCTTGAGGCAGTCTTCCGCAGATTCTAACAGTCTTTACCGCTTCTCATGTGGATTTTGAAGGAAGTTATGGGCCTTTGGAGTTTGCAAAGTTGCAGTCTTAGAAAAGGGTTTCAAAAAGCCAAGGGAAAAAAAGGAACAACGGGACTTTTTTTGAGCGAATGATTCTTCAGAAATGTTTTAGCACTTATTCGATAGTTCTAATCTTATAATTTCTGAGTAGCCTTGAAAATATGTAAAAAGTAGGCTATGAAGAAATTTATGAACGTTTGAATGTCAGAAACTCGCTTGTGCAACAAATACGGAACAACGGACGACGATTTCTTCGAAATATTAGACATTCGTAACATTTCAAATACTTTTAAGGAATTAAAACTGATTGAATTTTTGAAATTTTGGTATCCGGTTTCATGAGACCGCTTCTAAAAAAACAAAAAAAAAACATAACCTTCTGAATGGAGAGGGCTTGGATTGCAACGGAATTGCTACAAGATTTATTTTTCAGGATTGTAAAATAAAGAGGATTGGAGAGATCAGAAAAAAACCTGGTAGGTTTTGAAAGTAGAAATCTTTACGATTAAAATGATGTATTGGTTTACGCAAAAATTTGGAAATTCCTTCTATTTAATGAATAAAACTTCATGTTGCCTCGATTTCCTCCTCTGAGCGAGACAGAGCGCGCGGATTGACCACGGTCCACCACTTCTCCATGTTGGTGACTGCCCATACATCAATGATGAGCATTAAATTATGTGAAAGACATAATAGTTAATACGGGGGTCGTACCGATACCCTCCGAAAAGGAAGGGGGTCGTAAAAATTTTGGAATTTGCGCAACGCAGGGTTGACCTGCTTGCAACCATAACAACTCATCAAACTGATCCCGACTTTGCCTTTGAAAGGGCGTAATATCAACATGGGGTACAGGGTCAACCCTACGTTGTTACGAGTAACAACGGGGGGTCGTACTCAGTTGAGCTTGGAGGGGGGTCGTACCCTCTCGGTGGCCGACAGTGGGATTCTTGGTAATATCGGATAATAGCCAGCACGTTACGTTTTCGTAAGATGACTGATACTAGAGCATCTATAAACCACGCTTTCCCTCTAAATGAGCTTTCAAATGAATCAGCGAATTAGAAGGGCGCCCGAGGCGTGGCGCGCACCAAGGCAAGGGATGTAGTGCAAGCGCATGCTCGGAGCTTTCTAGCACATCCTAATTAAACATAAAATTGGTCTTCCAAGAAGTTACGGGCAGTGAAACCTAAGAAAACTCGCGTTTTCGAGAAAATGGCTTGAAGAATACCCCTCAAAATAAAAGTAACAACGGGACTAGAAAGCTTGAATCCTGTAGTTTATTATACATGTTCAGCTTCCCAAATGAATGACTTTGAAGGAAGTTATGATCGTTTGAAGGTCAAAAAGTCGCTTGCACAGAAAAAAGTAACAACGTACTAAATTTTTATTAAATTAACTTTCGAAGAATTTTTACCATGGTTGGAGAGAGAATAATTTGAATTTTCCAAATCAAATCACTTCGGCGCAGAAGCTCGAATATGAAGGAAGTTATAGCCTTAGAAAGAGGGGTGTAAAAATTGTGTTGCAATTGAAGAACGTGAAGGATTTCAGTATTTCAATTGGAGCGATAATTTTTTCTGACTTCTCATAAGTTTTTATCAGGTAATGTTGTCAATATTCCGGTCACTGGTTCAGTTTATTTCATCTCCTAGTTTGGTAACCCTTTGGAGTACACGGATATCTTTGAATGCATCTCATTTTTTCGTGTTTGCAAGCAGCGATGAATATCTGTCGTGGATTTTGCTAAAGTTTCATCTTTGATGACTTACGTAGAAATAAATATTGATGGTAAACACTGTCTCTACACAAGTGTCACATACAAGGGGGGTCGTATCAAATCACCCATGAAGGGGGGGGGTCGTAAAAAATTTCCAAAGAGTAAACAACGATAGGGTTGACCCTGATGGAGTATAAGCTTAAGTGATCGATTTTGGAGAATAGAGGCAAACAGTCGATAGAGTATGATGCAGTAGAAGTGTAAGATGTGAATGCAATAAAGCAGAAAGCCAGAAAGAGTTTCTAGTGAAGGCACTCCAAGAACCAAGTGGAAGCATCCCCGTCGCCAGCATTTGTGAAAGACGTCCGTGGGCACTTTGAACGCGTAGCAGCCCTTTCGATTTTTCGAATTTTTTACCAAAACGAAAGCAAATTTTTCTGTTCTTTCATTCTTATCGTGGATAATGAGTCTCAAAAGTGATTTATGGCTGGAATAAAATCACAGTTTTTCCGTGAAGAATTCCTTTAAGTGGGATGTTCATCACAAATTCCCATAATGCGGTTCAGAGAAGTTCCGAGAACCGGAAAAGTGAATAGAGGTCAGAGAAAGATTAAAGTTCGAATGTTGGTGTGGGAGTCCCCCCCTCAGCTCGTGTCGTGCCGACCATGTATGCCGAGTCTACCCGAACTTATAAGTTCAGTATCCAGAAGTCCTGGAGACCGGGAATAAAAGGATAGAGTCCGACCACGCAAGGGAGGTCAACTGCTATTGGTGGGTGAGGCACGAACAAAGTGGGCGGAGGCACCCGCGAAACACTGCAACTCGGTCGGTCTTAAGACGTCCTGGGAACTGGAAATAAGTAGGTAGGAGTTCGACAAGGAAGAGAGGTCGGTGGGTGTGTGAGGCGTGCGCAAGAGGAGGCGGAGTTTGCCGCGAATATTGACAAGAGGAGGCGGAGTTTGCCGCCGCTAATATTGACAAGATTATAATGTTCCCTTCCGACGCTCCTCAGTAACCCCATACGCGAAAAATTGGCCGTCAGGTTTGGTGTCTCAATGGTGTAGGCACACACAAGACACTCTACCCCACGCCCTCATGCGCAAATTTGCCTGGAATGAATAGCAGCGCGTTGCAGCTCTACTCGAATGCTATTATTGGACTCGGCAGCATTCGTATGTTATCTTTCCCAGGCTAGGAGAACGGAAAATCCCTTCGATATATTTGTTTATAATGATATCTTTACTTGTGGCACAACTTTATCTTTACACGCATTTACTACTAATAGACATTTTCTTTGGGCACAGACAAAGAAAATTTGAAGGGATTTCAAAGTTTCCCTCCCGGGATGAGGCATACGGCATCAGGTCTTCTTACAGATTAACCGAGAGAGATGCTTTCGATGTAATTCTCTAATTGCAAAAGGAACAGGGAATAAAGACTGAACGTCACTTTGATCACTGATGATTTGGAAGAAGGGCCAACCGTCGTGTTCGCACTTTTCAGAAATTTTGTGACTCCCACCCTCTTTCAAGGAGAGTCTTGATAAGACCTCCCTCCCCTCAACATTAGCCTCAGACGGCTTCTCTCTAGAACGCGCGTCAAGCGCGTGGTAACCCTGATGAAGCAGCAAATCCCTTTCACTTTATCCGCTTCACGCTCCGTTCATGAAGTTTTCGCCGCAATAGTCGTAAAATCGGTTAGAAAACACCTCTCCCCTCCCCCACTCATTGAACTCTTACAAATACAAGCACGCATTCACACTCTTTTCCAAACGGGTAATCGCACCTCACAAAGTCACAAATGCGACCCCTTCGTTCGAATAGTGCAAACAGACGGTCGACCCTGTTTGGAAGGCCAAGTATGATGTGGGACCACTATTTTCCAGGGCGCGAATGCTTATGGAGAGCTCGCGCTACGGCCGAAGGATGCGCGAAACGATCGAATCTGCGGATTCGCGAAAGGAACCGAATGCGTATCGATCCGCAAAATAGGAGGTCCGATTTGCAAGTTGGGAGAGGCGTCAAATCCGCGAATCCTTTTGAAAGAGAAGTATGTTTATCGATCAGGTGGACTGAAGGTGATCCGCGTTTCACGCTTTCGATACGTCGACGCGAAACGGTGAGAGGGAAGATTTGACCATGTCGAAAGGCATCTAGACTGTTTCGCTTCTGCGCTCGCGCGTGCGCAGGTTTTCGTGGCTTATCCTACTATATATAAGCGGCTAGCGTGTGTCTGTTGGTGTGTGTGTGTGTTTGACCGGAAATTCATAGCTCGAGTCACAGTAACGATAGCGCAGTGGTTCTTACATATGTTATAGGGGGTGGGATGGGGACACAAGTGGTACGTGATAGGAACTGATAACGACTGATAATAGCTGATAAGAGGGGCTAGAAAGCGAGCATCGCCAATTTCGTTTTGTCGTTCATATTGGTACTAGAGCGTCTATACTTACAAGTGTTATGTGGGGCGGTCCCGGGACATTGGTGGTACATGATTGGAAAGCGATAGCAACTGATAAGGGCTGATAAGATGCGCAGAACGCAAAAGTCGTCGATTCCGTTACCTGGCTCGCGTTGACACCAGAGCAACCATACTTACAAGTGTTATGTGGGGTGGGACGGGGACATTGTTGGTGGGTGCCAGAAACTGATAACGATTGATAAGGGCTGATAAGGCGCGTCAGAACGCAAAAGTCGTCAATTCCGTTACGCAGCGTTGACACTAGAGCGTTCCTACTTACAAATTGTAGTAAGTCGTAGTAGTACAAACAAAGGTACGTGCACATTATTTCGATATATATCCAGCTTACTTAATAGCAGTCGATTGCATAAATTCAATCAAGTCTTCAGCAAATGATAAGTTTCATTTCTATCAAGAAAGCCCAAACTCATTAAACCGCTAATCCTTTCGGGGTTCTAAATAATGGTGAATGTAAATAAATGATAAGCCTTAGCTCCTCACTTATGTAAATAGGCATATTTCGTTTTGATTTTGAGACTGACAGCAATCCTATTCACCGCTAAATTATCTTAATTCAAGAAAATGCTGGATGTTTACAGAGTTGTGATCAATATACCAGTTCAGCTCAGACGTTATCACGCGTATTCTCGATGAGCTTCAGTGAAACTGTGGAGGGTCTAACACAGTCAATAGTGAGATGGTTAATGGAGTATCTCATGCTGATATTCCATGGGTCCTCCAATTTCGCTAAAGCCTGCCGTGTGATGCGCGCGATAGCGGGCGAAGCAAAACTGGTAAGTATATAATTCTTTCTCCAAATTCGAATATTCGGTTAATTTGAAAATAGTTAGTAATGCTGGGTCATCCAGTAAGGGGGCATCAAGTGGCTGCCCTCACCCCACCCCCTAGACTGCCTACACTCCCCCTGGCGCACAGGTTTCTCGAAGTACGGGACCCCGTGAGCCAGGGGGAGTGAAGGCAGTCTAGGGGGTGGGGGTGAGGGCAGCCACTTGACGTTGCATCACAATGCCCCCCCCCCTTACTGGATGAGACCCGTAATGCCTAATAGGTATGTTGCAAATATCCCAGAATTTACACAGTCTGGAGACTTAGTGAAACTTGACCAGAGCTTGTTGGTTGATTTTGAACCCTGTAGGGTTTTGACGAGTCACTTTCGATCAATGTGCATCTATTAGTTGAGCATAATCACCGAATCACTCGATTTCTTTATCGCATGATCGCCGAATTTTGAGATTGATACGTCTGTTGTCCCATCGGCATAATCGCATAATCGCACAAATTTTGATCCATGAATGGATTACAATGAGGAGGAACACACTCCGAGAGTAGAACGCACGCCGAAACAGGCTGGCAAACCTGCGCGCGAGGGCGTGAGGTAGAGTGCCTTGTGTGTGCCTACACCATTGAGACACCAAACCTGACGGCCAATTTTTCACGTGTGGGTTACTGTATGGGAGCGCCTTAAGGGAACATTATAATCTTGTCGAATATTGTAGATAGGTTCAAAGAGGGCCCAGAGATTTTGGAAAGTGGATAAAGGTTGGCGAAGCAAAGGGTAAAATGCTATCGATGGGCGCTACTGAGATGGGAGGAGATGCTTTATAAAAATATTAAAGGCTCTTTATAAAATTGCAGCCATGTGATGCATGCGAATGCGTGCGCAGCTAGACTGGTCAATATAATAACGTACATATTCTAATAAAACAACACACCACACGTTGCCCACAATTTTACCTTGTACCTCCTTCCAAGCTCTGAAGAAACGAGATCACCAAATACAAGAGCGATGAAGTTGATCGTTCTTTCTAGGAAGTTCATCTGGTCGTTGTATGGTAGGGAAGTTGCTGCAATGTTCGATTGATTTCACAGGTAATACTATATGTAGCAGATGACTCTCCCATGTTTTATTGATGAGCGAAGACGTGACGATAAGAACGTTCTGATGACGAGTATTTTTCCAGGGACGGTAGTAAACTAGCCAAACTTGCACGTCAACAGACAGTTTTAATGAGCACGTCACGTGGAGGTGCAAGTTTTTCCGATGATGGTGGAAATCGCTTCTATGGCACCTAGGAGACCTATTTATGAAACTCTGAAGAAAGCTTCCCAGGTGAGCTGCAGCTCCCTGGCAGGGTGGTTCCTTGTTACGCGCAGCCGTAAAACGCGCAGGAAAGGGCTCGCTGACAGAAAACGGGACGCGGAGGGGCGAAATACAATGTGTTTGGAGAGACGCAGGTGACGCCCGTTACGCGCAGCAAAAAGTCCTTCGGAGGACTTTTTGGAGTTGGCCAACTTCAAACTGCCAGGTGCGTGGGTCAAAGCACGGTGTTGGAAAGGGAAAGGGAGGCACCTTGCATTGATTCGTCAGTGGTGGTCCTGCGGTCTCGTTGGTGTTGGATCAGTCGCGGGATCAATACTACGCAAGTCTAAAGGTTTGCAACCTTCGTAGGCTATTCCCTTTTCTCTACAACCCTTTCACCGTCGATAAGAAGGGCTCCTTAGTGCAGTGGTAACGATGCCGCTCATGGGACGGTGCACCGAAAGTTTGAACCCGTGTGTGACGCAAGGTTTGCAGGCAACGTGGGGCTCACCACTTCCACAAATTACCAGTGGCTCAATAGGAACGTTCCACGCTGCCGCTGGCAAGGTTGCTGGATCTACACCGCTTGGAGTCTAAGATTTGCAAACAACATCCGTTGCTTACCTGTTGTCAAGACCTCTTCCGATGCTGTGGTCGTCTGATCCCTGGTGCACTGGCAAAAACCCGGCTTTGAGTTCTGTCCAGGGTTCAAGTCCGAGAGTGGCGCAAGTTTTGCAGATAGTGTGGCGAGGCTGGCGGTTTCAAGAAGGGTCATGTCCATGTTTCCACGTTCCTTGTTCCTCGTCAATGGGTGAAAATCACCACATTTGATTGCCAGTCTAGGGCACCTTACTACCGTCCCTGATATAATGCAGCACGTTTGCAAATTGTTGGTAAGCGCGACCTTTCCACCGCGACTCGTTTTCCGGTTTCTTCGCTCTCGCTATTTCAGTCAAGTTGTTCCTTTTTCACCTCAAAGTAGTTTGATATATTTTCAGACTGCTATAAAATGCAAAGAGTTACAAGGAACAATGCTGGGTAATTTCGGCACATCATAGAATTCAGCCATCGAATCCATAATGCCCAAAGCCGATGTAGCGATCATATGACCAATGCCGACCTTCTAAAAAATATGCAGTGAGATTACGATATAAAGAAACACAAATAATTACATCTCTTCCAAACTCTGAGCGTTCATAAAGAGTAGAGTAGTTATACTCCAAATGATGCGCAGCATCGCGCATGTTCGTCAGAATGCTCGATGCGGTGCCAAATTTCTAATGCGCATGCGCGTCAGTCTTTCGTCAACGTGTTAATCCGCTGAGGGTACTCCAACCAATCACCTGGGACAGCGGTAAACTACCCTCAATTCGCAGGTAAAGGTGGTGATCGAAGGCCCTTGCATAGAATAAAGAATAAGACAATCGCGAATCGATCTTAAATCAAACGCGAGCTTCCTACTCTATTTTATGATCACAGAACAACGAAACATGAGGAAACGAACAAATATTTCAGAAAAAAGGTCACAAAAGCATCTGTGGATTATGCGATTGCAGCTGCATTTTTAATTCCTATTTAGTTCAGAAAAAAAGACTGTGGGAATGGGGAGACGCAGATGCCACGTTTGCCACGTTAACCCTCCAGTAAAAAGTCCTTCGGAGTACTTTTTACTCGAGGGTCAACGTGGCGTCTGCGTCTCCTCAACCACGTGCTCCTTTTTTTCTCTGCTTAATTCCGAATTAGCTTTACAGGTTATCTCTCTAATTCGTAATTAAAGTGGATTTTTCGATAATGATCTAGCTATGAGCTGATCAAGAGTTAATGTGTTAGGAAGCGCTTTAAACATGTTGGTGGTGATGTCCGTTCCTCCAAGTGGTGCCACTGGGAACTGCTCACTTTTGTGAGCTGAGCTGAACACGGACATTCGAATGCAGGCGACAGGCCCCCGTGACAGGCCGGCCTACGAACACCCACGTCACATCACAAATGTCATGTCGCTAAATGAATCTCGAGATAATGCTACGGCGTCCGCGGGAGCCGACGCGCACTCGCAAAGCCCGGCGAGTGTGAAAAGTATGCGAGGGTCTCCGGTGCAAGGACGGCATCGGGGGGCAACTAGGCTAGTCCAAAAGTCCCGCAACGTATGGAAGACTCGCGTTGCGACGTTAAATGTTGGCACGTTAACGGGCCGCTCGTACGAGTTAGCAGAAGCTCTAGAGCGCCGACGAATTGATTTCTGTGCCGTGCAGGAAACGAGGTGGTCCTGCTGCAAGTCGAGGGACATTGGCCGCGGCTTCAAAGCCGTTCTCTGTGGCGGTCCCAGAACCACCAACGGCGTCGGGATGATTGTCTCTGAACGCTTTCCGTGATTCGATAGTAAGCGTGGAGCGCTTCGACGACCGCTTAATGAAGATCATTGTCGTCATGGAACACAAAAATACCACTTCTTCTCTGCGTACGCTCCGCAGACTGGATGCTCCGAGCAAGCCAAGGACAAGTTCTGGAACCTGCTTGATGAGAAGACAGCTGAGGTACCGTCACAAGAAGCCATAATTGTTGCAGGTGACCTCAATGGCACGTGGGCGCTACGAAAGACGGTTATAGCTGTCATGGTGGTTTTGGATATGGGTCACGTAATACTGATGGCGAGCGAATTCTTGAATATGCAGACTCGCATAATCTCGCCATGTAAACACGAAATTTCGAAAACGTGACTCACATCTTATCACCTTCTATAGCGGTAAACCAGAACACAAATTGATTTCGTCCTTGTCAGGCACCGCGATCAAGGGCTCGTAACAGACGCGAAAGGTAGTACCTTATGAAACGGTCGTCACACAACACCGACCACTGATTTGCACGCTGAAGATCGCCCCGCCGAAACCGAAACTAGCCGAAAGGTGTGGGCCAGCGAGAATCAAGTGGTGGCGACTGAAAGAAAAAGAAGCGGCCGTCGTTTCCCGCATTCGATTACCAGCGGTAACGACTGTCGACGAAACTTGGAAAGGTGCTGCCGAAGAAATAACTCGGATAGCTCGATCCGAGCTCGGCATTACGAAGCCTGGACGGCGGAGAATTGACAAGCAAACGTGGCTGTGGACGGACCAGGTCAGAGAGAAAGTGCGCGAGAAGAAGAAGCGGTACCACGCTTTTCTTAACGAAAAGACAGCTGATAACTGGCGGAGCTATCAGATAGCGAAGAAAGAGGCAAAGAAGGCCGTTGCTTCCGTAAAAGCAGCTCATTTTGCTGATGTCAACGAGAAACTCGAGTCGCGCGATGGAGAGCGGTACGTTTACCGACTCGCAAAGACCCGCCATCGCCAGACCGAGGATATAGAAAAGTTCTTCGGCATAAATGACGAAATGGCCACCTTTTGACGGCGCAAGAAAACATTGAAGCGATGGCACGACTACTTCGAAACATCTCAACAGTCGAATTTGCTCATCCCGCCATCCCTGTGCTCCGCCAGTACACGGTCCCGTTCAGAAGATAACCGTGGAGGAGACCATAACGGCATGAAGAAGATGAAATCAGGCAAAGCAACTGGTCCCGACGACTTAGCGGCCGACTTGTGGAAGTCAAAGTGCTGGAATCCTGCAGAATGGTTGACGGAGTTCTTCAACCAGATCGTTGCAGAGAAGAAGGTGCCTGAGAGCTGGCAACAGAGCACGACGATTCCCATCTGGAAGAAGAAAGGCAGTCCTGGAGACTGCACTAGCTACCGTCCAATTCGCCTGCTCTCGCACAGCATGAAAATCTTTGAGCGAATTGTAGACAGTCGTATCCGGGACATCGTCGAGCTGACCACCAACCAGTGTGGTTTTGTGGCTGGCTGCAGCACCATCGATGCCATACACGCCGCTCGCCTTCTGCTAGAAAAACATCGCGAAAAACAAAGACCGGTGCATTTGCCTTCCTAGACTTGGAGAAGGCTTTCGATCGCGTTCCACGTGACGTTATATGGTATGCCTTACGACAGCATGGCGTTCCCGAAGAGCTTATTGAGTGGGTGCGCATCCTTACTCGAGTCCAAAGAGCCGAGTGCAAACGGCAGCAGGCACTTCGATGGATTTTCCCATCTCTGTCGGGTACACCAAGGCTCTGCGTTATCCCCACTCCTATTTGTTGTCGTCATGGATGCCATTTCAAGAGATCTTCAGAAGCCGGCTCCATGGACGCTTCTTTATGCTGATGACGTGATGCTCGCCTAGCGAAGATAAAAGCACGCTCGAGCAACAAGTGCAAACCTGGTCCGACCGTCTGGCTATGTTCGGGCTCAGGTTGAACGTCAAAAAGACTGAGTACTTGACCACCGATTCGAGTGAGCCAGGCTCTATTAAGATCAATGGTACTGAGCTCACACGTACAACGACATTCAAGTATCTTGGATCAGCAATCGCGTCTGACGGCAGCCTGGTCTTCTGAAACGAATTCTCGCGTGAGTGCAGCTGGTCGAAATGGCGCTCGATGACTGGCGTTCTCTGCGATAAGAACATACCAGAACGTCTCAAATCTAAGATCTATAGAACCGTCATCCGGCCAGTCGCGATTTACGGTGCTGAGTGCTGGCCTGCGACTAAAGAAGTCGAAGCCCGTCTCAGTGTGATGGAGACAAAGATGCTGCGTTGGACAGCCGGAGTCACACGAGTAGACCACATTCGAAACGATGTCATCAGAGAGCGATTCGGTGTGGCTCCAATTGTCGACAAGATGCGCGAAGCCCGTCTTCGATGGTATGGTCATGTTCTTCGCGCGAAAGATGACAGTGTCCGTAAGATCGGTCTCAACCTTGACGTGCCCGGAAAGCGGCCTAAGGGACGCCCGAAACAGCGCTGGCTCGATACGTTGCACACAGACTTGAAGTCGGTTAACATCCACCCCGACCAAGCATTTAATCGGGAAAAGTGGCGTCAGCACATCAGAAAAGCGGACCCCGCCAACAAGCGGGACAAACGCTGAAGAATAAGAAGAAGAAGCGCTTTAAACATGTTACCTAACCATGACTTTGGTTTGATCTAATCTCAACATGTCAACATATTCACGACGACGCCCCTTTTCCACTTTTCGGTCGCGTGGGACGGACGCGATTTTGTGGGCGCCGCCGCCTCACCACATACCGCAGATTTTGTTTTGTAAATGAACAAAAACATGAATGTCACAAAATAATTTCTGCAATGTCCAATGCGTAAAGATTATCTAAACATATAACAGTAGGATTTCGATCAGAACGACAAATAGTGGTTACGAAAAGAGAGCATTTATTCACTTTCCCCGTGAAGGAATTTAAAAGCATTTTACACTCGATTTGCCCACCTATCTGTCCATTCCTAGCGCCTGGCAAGCGATTATCAGTTGGCAGCCCATATGGGCTGCCATCGTCCCAGGAGCGCATGTTGTTGGCAGCCCATATGGGCGGCCATCGGCGTGAATGTGTTAACTCTGAATTGAGGGAGGTTTGCGAGAAAACCTGCAATGATCGCGAACACCTCGAAACGTTCCAAGTGTTCTTCGCGTCGGAGAATATGTACATCTGTGAGAAAGGTGCCCATTCAAATGAGGATTTGCGGAGGAGAATTGTAGGCAATAGGGCAGAGATGGCCGTGATACTGATGGTTTCCGAGAAAGATGAGCAATTCCAAAAAAAGCGATGTGAAATCGGCACTTTCTTGCGACTCAGCTTAATAGAAGTGAGTGAGTTCATAACCAGAATCGTGACCCTTTCCCTCATCTATCGTGGCGAAGTAATGAACCACTTACGTTGAAGATACCAAAACCGCAAGGGTCGATCATCTCAGTGATTCCTGCGTCGAACTGTTCATTTACGAGCATCTGCATCGTGCCATTATTACCGAGAAGGACTGAAAACATTCATATTGTTGGGCTTATCAGACCAGCGGAAAACTATGCAGTGTTTGAGTTGGCAGATTGAGAATCAATGTTGTGTTCCTTCTAATTCAATTAGTGGAACTACAACGCATTTTTTTGCATAAATACCGCAACAGAAAAAAATCTAGAAAAGTTAGCGGGAGGACCACTACGACCTTCTTTTTGGAGTTTTGCTCGAAGTCCTATTCTTCTAAAAACATGTTTGGTGATGTTTGGTGCCTTTTGAGAATCTTTCAGAGAATAGAGAGTTGATTCCATGACATGTTGCACATGAGAACGGTACACTATGAGCACGCCTGTCGGCGATAGGCGTTGCACTACTAGGCTTCATAAGTAAGAAGAGAGACTCATTCGGCAAGTAAGGAAGGTCTATTTGAGCTCAGCGTTTAGAAATCTGCATACAAATGTATATCTCACTTTAAATTATAGGGTATTGAACTTCTTAGTGACAGTAGCTCTTACTACTCAAGGTTGTGTCCAGCGTTTTAGACGTCGCCGTCATGGATCGAGATCCGTCGAGGACCTCGTGAGATCGAACCGTCTATGAAAACGCGTGCAAGATGCATTCTTTTGAACGAAGAGGTCTGCATCGTAACCTAATTGCGGCAAGATTCAATTATTTGACTCATAAAGAAAGGAGATTGCAAGCGAAATAAACTTGGTTGGTTTGTAAAAGTAGAAATCTTGGCGATTACTATAATGCGTAGGCTAACGTAAAAACTACTTCTATTTATTGTGTGAAATTTTATCGTGCCTCGATCCCTGTCCTCTGAGCGAGACAGGACTCAATACAGTCCTCCACCTCTCCATGTCGGGTGTATACATATATAGATAATAGTAGATGATGGGCACGAAAATATGTAAAAGGACACCAGGTAATAGGGAGGGGGTCGTACTGATGCCCTGCGAAAAGAAGGGGGTCGTAAATATTTCGAAATCTGCACAACAAACTGCTGGCCCTGCATAAAATCCTCCCACCGTGGGAGGATTTTATGATGTTCTAAACAACATCGACCCGTGTTTCTTCCAGTGACTCTCACAAGTCTATCACAGAAAAGCAACATAGTCTGAGCGTCCTGTTCAATGACGGTCATACGGCTTGACTTCTAAAATATACCTTTCTCTTTCTCACACCACCATGAGTAGAAGTCTTGCGCTGAGAATGCGATATTCCGATCCTTTATAATACTTTGAAACAGAAAACAAAAACAGCAAAACAGAAAACAAAAAACAGCAAAACAAATAATTAGCACTTGTGTTGCTATGGTCTTCCAGGGGTGACCCAAGAAGAGCGCAGGTAGAGAGTTTCAGGATTCTGAAGGACCATTCACGGTGTCGGTATACATGCGGGCAGCCTCTGCCTTCCCCTCACATAATTATGTCTATTCTGATCTCTTTGTGTCTTTAGAAACTTGATTAAGAAGGAGTACGTCCATTAGTTCTCTATATTTGTAGCAGGATGGGTTAACTACAAAGTCTTCTGCAGAACTTACAATCGCAGGAACGAAGCTGGATTTCAGTGAGAGCGGTCAGTAATTGCAGCTGACCAATAATGGACCTGCTGTTCGTGCTCCAGATACGAAATTGCCATGGTTCTAGATCCTTCACAAGCGCCTCAGGGAGAGTGTACAAAACCTCAAAAAGGATACAGTTTGGGAAATGGCACCAACAACTCCAACAGGTAGGAAGTGGACGTATAAGGGCACTTATCACCTTCTTGGCCGAGGTGGAGATATTCCACGAACGCTGTCTCTCCCACACCGGATGGAATATAGTCTAAATGTGATTTGATTCCTGCAAGATTTGGGAGGCTTTCTGAAACCATTTTGTACCTAATCGAGCCATTTACCATTCGTCAAGTTTTTGCTTTGTCTGCGCTCCGCATACACTCCCTTACTTTATTGAATTGATCGAGAAGTGTCCACCAATCTCGAATTAGCTGTATCGCTTGTCGTCCCACTGGTCATCAAATTGCTCAAGCAGGCGCCAACAACGTCTTCATTGTCATAGTCGCGTGCAAAATGAGATGTTCTTGTTGATCCTCCTCATCTCGAAGGGACCACTCCCCCCCCCGAGCCTATCCCTTTCGCTCGCCTTTCCGGTAATCCGTAATCGCAGGATCTTCGGTCTCTCACCGTCTAGAGGATCAGTCTGTCAGCCCGCTCCATAGTCCCACCAAGGTCTTAACAGCATCGCATGACTGTCGCCGCCTCACCTGATCTCGTCCCTGCCGAAAACGGCACGCCGTCTCTGCTCCTTCCGATCCTTGACATAACCTCTCGAACTCCTGATTCCACTCTGTCATTTGCGTGGTTAGGAGTACCCCACAGCATCGTTCTCTGCAATACGCGCTTCAGGACTGAGCCGCCTATGCTGCGTCTGCTTGAGTCCAAGACTCTGAGCCGTCGCTTAAGGCAGGAAGGAATCGAGAGGTGGGCACGGAGCCAGGAGTTTTTTGTATTCTTCAAGCCTCCCACAAAAGGTTCTTACATACTCTGCATGCCACTCTTTTCCTCCTGTTCTGAAGCTGAGTCGTTCGTCGTGTTGATTTTGTCGTACACGTAGCTGAACTCGGTGGTAATTCGTTGAACGTAAATGGGGCATGAGGAACAAGTTTGTAATAAAGATCGTCCTGATTGGGTTAAATCTGGAATCCCCGCACCACTCTCACTCACACGGCCCCGCATCCTCTCCGAATAAGAGCAGCATCCACCCCCTCTGAACTCTTCCTCGATCAATTCCCGACCCGCTCACGAGAATAGCATACTCGTCACAGAGAAGTATTCCATGGCCCCGGCCCGTCGCACCTCTTTCTCCATGTCCTTCCTCTCCGCTGTTGACGCATGATGTTAGCCTCGAACCGCGTCGCCTCGAACAAAAAGCTTGGGCAAGCATGAGCTGTCGCCCTCGTCGACGCTCCGCTCTCTCTCAACGTCCGATGATGCATACTACTTGTAGAATGGTGAATCCTGGTGTACAGAGAGGAAAGGGTGCACTATGAGCAAGTCGCACCACAGGCCAACACACAAACCCGCAACATGGACACGTCACAGGGCGGTGGCTCGATTGCCAAAGCTGCAGGAACGAATGTGCAGCAGGGAATCGAAGGACAAATGTCAGAGATCGAATCGATTCATGAAGGACATAGGCGACAAACATAATAAGTTGTTCCGATCCACCCGATAATTCATGACTTTAGAAGGGTCATCCGAACGTAAGCCAATTCATTAGTGTACCCCCCTTAGTGTTTTTATCAGCGGACCAAGGCTAACGAATTCCGAATATGCCATCCAAGAATATTTTGTGCTCCCAACGTGAGTCCTCGAATCTGAAATGATGCGAAGCATACGGCTCATCCCAGAGTGGGTCCAGTTAGTTGCGCGCGCTTCGACCACGGCTCTCTGAAGGAATAATCTTAGTGAGGAAGAATCAAGAGGATTCTGGAAGGGTTCGTGTGAAATTAAACGAGGAGTAAACTATTCAAAGAGAACGGCAGTTTCAACGTCCATTTACCAGAATATACCTTGAAGTTGAGGTAAAGCTAAACATCTTACTTTTACTTGAGAAAAAAGAAAGCACGGGGGTCTCTCTAATCTGTTCAACTATTAATCATATAAATCGATATCAAAGCAGCTGATTTACTATAAAATACGCGAGCAACCCCCACATGAAGCTTAAAAAGACCTTTCGCGGTTACTCGGCATAAAATCTTTCAAGGGCATTTTTTGTATAATGGACGTATTAAGCTTTAGTAACCTTTTACAGGATTTTTTTTAGTTTCACTCTGACATATTAACTTTTCGGATTTGACGAAAATTGAGCAAGTTATGGCTTCGAAGTGCAATTGATAATTTTCATAATTTCAGCATTTGTTAGGAAGAGCTCGTTACAGAGCTTCCAAATCTGCTTTCAGATCAAAATTCGTCATGTTTGAAGAACGTATAATCAATTAAATATTATATCTAGCTTCAACGTTTCAGAGTAGAAAAAGCGCCCAGGCCGGGGGGCAGTGGGGGCGCGATCGCGGCCAAGCTCAACATGCAGTCTGGCGCGAGTTACAAAGCTTCGCTTCAGTCCGAAAGGTGGACGTATAGATTGAGAACAACGTACTGCGTCTAGTACCACAATAATACAGGGCAAGAATTTCGAAGAAAAAACAAAGAAAAAAAAAAACAAATCAATTTTTCTAAAGGGATAGCAAATAAGGAACAGATGTGTCATAATATGCCTCTTTATGACTAGTTTGTCGTTTTTTGCTCCGTTTCTCGTTTGCTCGTTTCGTGAGAGTCATGAATAATGATCATTCTTTGACTTTTTCTGCTTATTTACGCCTTGAACGATTGTTTTGGTGGACGGTGGGGTGGCAGGGCTTTTTTATGAACAGTTTTAAGGGAGAATTGGACATTTTTTTCATAGTTCGGCTTTTAAAGAGGGTTGTTTCATGGAATTCGTTCGGGGGGGGGTCGTCTTTCCAATTTTTCCTCGACGGCTCGCTTGACTATGTACAGAGCTCACGAAAAACCTTATTTCAGATTAGAGCGCTTCGTTTCCCACCGTTTTGCAATGAATAGTCTTTTAATATCCCTAACAATTAAAGCCACTTCTAAGCAGAGTGCAACCGGAACATCAGCTGGCATTTGTATTCTCGATGCAAATTCAATTGAGCGCTACGTGACCCGTGGTGGTCGTCGTTCCTAACACTCCAACGCGGAATCCTGCTTGCTCGCATGGCTATCCTTCATCCAGTATTCTGCCAATGTTGTCAAGACGATCCGAGCGAAAAGTTTTAGATTACGGACGGCTTGCAGATTGGGCGATAGTGGACTAATTTTGAATATCGACGAAAAATCAGAACTTCTTGAGAAGCTAGTTGGTGGCCAAACGAGACAATCTGTGTGTTTTTCTGCCAAATGAATGATGGTACACACTTAGTACATTGCTTGTTCATCAACAACTGTGGATGGCCCATCGGGTGTTGATGTTCTTCATGAGAACAATATCCATAGGTGAACTTCACTAACCATTAGGTTATTGCTTTATTTGCTGTTACCTGCTCTTGCTCACAGTCCCAGTTGAAAGTTCAAGCATTGTTGGTCCAGCCAAAACATTGTCTTGAACTGCAATCATTTCCTCTTTACTCGGAAAAACATTAACACCAAAAGTCAAAAGTTCACTTGTTGCGTCTTCACTTTTTGCAAGCTATTTGAATGAACGCTGTTTGAGACAACACATAAAAGCAACTCAAGATCAGAGAAGGCTCACACCGGTTCAATATAGTACGAGCAAATCCAAAAGGACGGAATATTTGGCATACTCGAACACTCACCGTTTGGTCTTCCATCGATTAGAGGCTCGGCACCTCTCCCTACCCATTACCAGAGTTTGGTAGTGAAAAATAAAGGTGCCGAGCAGAGCGAATTTGATATTCCCTTTATCCTTCGCGTTGCATACTTTTTTGTCTTTTTTTCTGGTTCTAGACCGCTCTTAGGCATGCTTGAATTATACAAAATAGTGCTTTCCTTCCTCAGTTTCCCAGAACAAAGTTTTACTAAAATAATCCTGAATATTTCCGAGAAATATGCGAAACAAATATGTCTGTTTGTGAATAGTTCGCATCGGTCTAGTAGGTTGCAACGAAAAAATGCAATGAGCTCACAAACTGAAAAAAAACTCGTACCCTTACCTCAACGAAATTATTTCGAAACACAAAAGCAAACGACACGAAATTAGAATTTTGAATGAAAGTGAAAGTGCTGAGCGTTGATTTCTATGTGTCAGCGATTTATTGACTATTGTGAAAAGTGTTGTGTATTGGAACACGATTAGTGGGGCTCCCCCAGGAGAGTTCTTGTACAGCGTCCTGACCCTCCTTTCCAACACAGGAACTTTCATCAAATGAAAAAAAAGATTATGTACCCACAGGTATACTCAGCAAAGGGCAAGCAAGTGTCTACTCAAATCAACAGTGCTAATATCAGCTAGTTTCCTTAGGCGAGCATACGCGAATTTTTGAGAATGGGTTGAGTTTTGAAGCTCTCCTTTGCTCCTGTCCTATATGCACTACCCTCTGCATAGTATGCTACTGGACCTGCAGACAAATGGGTAGATTCAATCAGCATTTTTTCGATTCCAGCAAGCACTCAAATAGGGAGACTAGTGAATGTGGAGAACACGTTGCCAATAGATACAGTTCAAAGCTTCTGCTCGGATCGTTGCAGCTTAAGTAGCAAATCAAAAAAATCCTTTGAAAACGAAATAACAGATTGGAGAAAATAAAATCGTAAAATTAATTTAGAGAAACCATGAGGAAGGGTAACAGGAAAATTGAATATAAGAATAAAAAAACGTTAGCACGAAGTTATTACGCACTTCGCTAAGCCCTATAGTGCGATGTAATGTGTAGTGTGCGCCAGAGAATTACAGTAAATTTGATAAACCTCCACGGAGAAAATGCAATTTTTTATCGATACTGGCATAGGCGTTGCTACTGGAGTGTCAATGCACAAAAATACGAAAGGTAAGCAAAATTTGATTTGGAAGAGAAGTTCACTTTCTCACCACATTGTGACCACCTTCGTGAAGAATATCAGCGATGCGTGCCATGAAGATTGTGTGCGAGTGTCCCTGCGGCCCCGAAAATATGAGAAATTTTGTAGGAATAGGCTGAGTAACAGCTGAGAGCAATAGATAAGGCAGAAGACGTTTCATTTTGGGCACATTGCTTGCGTAGCTGTTGATATTGTAGGTCTGAAACGAGACGATTAAAAAAGAAACAG